TTCTGAACCTTTAACACGTTTTCAGCTTTTTCACAGGCAATAGACAGAATACTATGAAAGGGAAGTAATTTTACAGTTGGGAAATAAAAAAAAGTAAATTAAATCAAGATGATTTCTTGCCATGTCTAAGTTCTCGTTGGGCAGTTTGAAAAACCATAAACAAAAGAAAAGCTTTCTTTTACAAGACAGATTTAAACTAGGTGCACCAGAGTTTTATCAGCTTTTCTTTAACAATATTTCACCTAACAGTCATGCATAGAGGATTCGGCTGTTGAACCATTCTGAACGCACAATATTACACATCAGCCGGTTTGAAAGAATCAGTGAATGGATCTTAACCAAGCAGGTTGCAATCTTTGCAGTGGAAGGTTTACTAAAGGAAGAGGAATAGTGCCTTTGTCCACCGTTACACACGGGCTTGAAAACAAAGACAGAGGAAACCCATTAGGTGAAATAATATGGGATATAACAGCTGTAGGCGTCTGAATTGTCAATTTAAGTCAATTGAATTGTCAATTTAAGTCAATAAAATTAATACTTTTAAAGGTTAGCATTTCTCACAAGCTACAAATTCAAAACGATAAATCTAAAATCGCTCAAACTTTTACACTAAATTCCTTACCAAATGTTTTCCTAGTGAAGAAGAGGAAAACTGAACCATCATTAAAGCATTATACCGCACGTGCATTTCAATATTTTAATTATTTAAGCAAAGATGTAGGTCTAATAATATTAAATCTATGCTTTTGTTCTAGTCTTTTACCTTCTTTCCATGTTTAATGCCAGTAACAAAACCTTCAGGTGCATGGCTGCCACTAACTGGTGAGGAGCACAACAGCATTATATGATTTGCAAATCCATCCTCGAAAATTATTGATTTGTTCTTATAAATTTTCAATTTGTACTTTTAAGTTTGTAAGATTGTACAATTAACCTCCTTTAATTCCTAACTTCTAAACTTGTATTCTTACAGATGAAACATCTGATGTCACATGTCTGTATGAACTGATAATGAGGAACAAATAAGTCTTAAATATATTCATATTTATTGACTCACGTTTACAAATTTAGTCACTTAAGCATACATTGATTTGGACAGTTATCTTATCCTTTAAAAGATGCTTCCAGAATAGAAACCATATCATCTGTTGAGATCACAGTAATTCAGACTGCGACTTTTAAACAAGCAGTGAGATTCTCTATATAACTGTTGGCTACACATGTGACAGGAAAATTCTTATGGTTTAACAAACTCACTAAAGAATACAGAGAAAGTGGTTTTATATGATTCATAAATGATTATTGAAGATGGTTGCTGAAGCCATTGAATAGGTCAAATGAATGAAACATTTAAGAAACCAAGTGTCAGGGCTCCTGTCTGTGTGTTTGTTTTTGTGTGTGTCTTCCTTCCACCAACAGGAGGCGCCTGGTTCCGGTCCGCCTCCTCACACACCTGCTGACGGTTACCTCGTTAACGGAGTGTTCTTAAGCTGCTGACTGCCACTACCTGGACGCCAGAGTGTTTGCCAGTTTTTGGTACTCTAGCCAAGCTGAGTTTTCGCTGAGTAAGACTGAGTTCTTGTCTCCCCGAGTTTTAACTTTGTTTATTGTCTTTGCCTCTCGGCAGGAAGTCATCCTGCAAACTGGACCTTTTCGGACCTCCTCTCCCAGGAGGGATCAACTGAGTCTTAAACTGAGCTGAGGAAACAAACCGGAGGTTTGGATCCAGTCTCCTATGAGGACGTTGAAATTACTGTCTGAGCAAGGGAATCATCTTCACTACGACCCGTTCAAGTACAGCAGGAAATCTGAGTGGCAATCAGCGTCTCCGTTCCCCTACACCTGTTCCGCCCTCCACCAAGTCAGACAAACTCTGGAAAACCAACACATAGTTGGGAGTCAAGGATCTTTCACTTCTCTGGAAACGTGAGTCAACAATCAGATCCTTTGCTTCTAATCAACAAATCAAATTTCCCACTGAGCCTGAACTAACAGTGTGTCTTCCCCTCATCTTCCAGTTCTGGCTGAGCAGAGTTCAGAGCGACTTTGCACCGAGCTTAACATCTTCACTAAAATCCGTCAAACTTTTCATCCGTGTCTCTGTTTGGTTTTGGGTCCGAGCCTTAGATAAAATCATGACACCAAGTTAGCAAATTTGAGCTTTTAGTTATTTTGAAGAGTCCTTGTAGAAACACATAAATGGTGGTTTGAATTAAGGAAACATCAGTATTCATATTTATAAGAGTCAAATACCTGTACGTAACCTTTTATACTTGGATTTTATTTATAAATATGTTTCTACATAACATAGAGGATTTTGATATATTTGTAAATGTTAATTGGGCCAGAGAAAACTGCTTAAAAAAAAAAAAAAAGAATTATTGTTTCTTTAAACCTATTTTTATCATAAAGACAGACATTTATAAAAGATGTAGAAAAATAACTACTTCACATCTATTCTTCTACAACTCGTATTGACTTAGACTTTATTTGTCATTTTTTACACAGGTGTATACAAAAAGAAATTTCATTCAGTGCAGCTCTCAAGACATTTTTTTTTTTAAAGGGCAGCCTTGATAAAGGTGAGAAGCAGTGATGATGTAAACATACGCCTGTATAGTTACAGTTCAAACATTCAGGGTTATTTTTTTATTTTATAACCCCATTTTATATAACATTCAGCAGTCTAATGGCAGTGAGGAAGAAACTGATCTGGAATCTGCTGGACCAGCATTGGATGCTTCAAAGTCTCTTTCCAGAGGGCTGCAGGGTCCATGATGGGGGTGTGAGGGGTCATTTATAATCTACCAGTAAAACACGGGTTACTGCTAATGAAAACAATAAAGCGAAGGTGTTTTTAGGCCCACATATGCCCACATAGAAACAAACGCTAATTACACCGGTAGGGCGGATTGAAACGAGGCTTCCACTCTCTGTGCCCCTATGGCAACCCATCAATGTATTTCACCAGACCATAAACACTAACCTGTATGCGGTGGCGTAGAAAAGGTCAACAGTTCTGTATGAACAAATGAAAAGACCACGAATGAAGGAAAATTACTCCAAAACTGCTGGTTTTACTTTGCTGTTATCACACTGTTATTATTGAGCACCAGCTCCATTTATGTTCTAACCTATCGTCAGAGCGTCTAATACCAATAATTAAATCTATAGGATGAACAACATGGAAATATCAGCTTGAATTAAAATCCGTCTATTTTAATCTGACATAGCTGTGGAATAAAAAAGTGAAGAGAACAGCAGACTGTGATGCAGTGTGCATGTAGGGTTACATCCGTGCCCCTTTAACAGAGGGTGATTATACGATCCCAGCTGCAGTCTCTCATCTCTGCAGGCAGATTTGAAGGTTTCTCATTAATAGTTTACAGTCCTCGGCTTCCCTTCTGACAGCTTGTGTCACAACCCCGGTGTAGCCTTGTGGTCTAACACTTTCTCTCCCTCTGCCCTTTCTTTCTTCCCCCGGCCAAAATCTGAACGATGAAAGTGAGGCATCGGACCAAGTCCTTTAAAAAACGGTCATTATATTGTCAGCTCTAAAGTCTCTGAGGGGGAAATTGCTGCCACGATGGTGCCACAGGCTGTCAGTGCTGAGGTGAATTTGCTTTTGTTGCAGCCTCAACTACACAAGAATCTGGAGCTGCAGTCGCTGCAACTTCGCATATAACACTTCACGGCAGACCCTGAAATAAACATGAGGGCTACAGTCACACACAGCGCCCTGCAAAGCCGATCATAAAAGGAGTCTCTTTACCATTTTAACAGATTAGAACTATCAATGTCAGTTT